CAGAAGTTCAAATGAATTTAAATTTGATTATAAATGGTTTCTCTTACGCGATTTCGTGACTTGTGCTTACAGAGATTTTTGTTTGGTGCCGCGAATTGTTGATTTCCTCCATTCTTCGGTTCCTTCTTTGCTTTTTGTTTATTGGAAAGTTGATTTGTAAAATTAAAGAACGTTTTAGGGTAGCTAGTTGGTGGAATTAGATTTTTTGAAAGAGTAATGTTTGGTTGGAATCTGCTGCCTGTAAGGTGTTTGACGAAATTCCTCTTAGAAATTAACTAGTAGCTCCATGCCATTTTTTCTTGGAATTTCAGAGTGGTTTTGTATATGATTGTCTAGACACGAGTTGCGAAAGGAAGCATTTATGTCGAATACTATGATGTGTGCATTTGAATAGAATGGACAAGCTTTATGTAAAACTCTGAAATCTTCAGTTTCTCTATTTATTCTCTGTATGATTATAGAAGCTCTCTGAACCTCATCTTTCACTTGCCCATCTCTTTTAGTAACCTTCGTTTGGTGAAGGAGATCAAAATGTTATTACTTATATAGACAAGTGACCTCTTTTGCTCTTTTCTTTTTTCATTAAACTTATATATGCAGGTCATACGCTTTTACGGTAGCCATGGCGAAGCATCACCCTGATCTGATCATGTGCCGTAAACAACCAGGCATTGCCATTGGACGACTGTGTGAGAAATGCGACGGGAAATGCGTGATCTGTGATTCTTACGTGCGTCCGTGTACTCTGGTGCGTATTTGTGATGAATGCAACTATGGATCATTCCAAGGCCGGTGTGTTATATGCGGAGGGGTTGGAATCTCTGATGCTTACTACTGCAAAGAGTGTACACAACAGGAGAAAGACAGAGATGGTTGCCCTAAGATCGTCAACCTTGGGAGTGCGAAAACCGATCTGTTCTATGAACGTAAGAAATATGGATTCAAAAAACGATGATTTGGGTACTTCCCGATTGCACTGTCCTTTGATTACTTCAACTATTTGGATATCTTATGCTATGTGCAAACTTGTCTATTGACCCCCTGTTGCATAAAACTGATATGTTCCAGAGAATCTAAAGATATTGGGTACAAAACCAGAGATTATTATGCTTTGTTGTTTTTGGTAATCTGGGGTTGCTTAAGTTTTATTTTTCTTCTCTAATACGCATCATATTTAGTCGAAGAAAATATCGGCAAAACGAAATGAAGGAAAATATAGTGACATCAGGCCAGAGAAACAAAACGATATCTCATGAGTGGGCTCACAGCCAAATTGCAATTCAGCTTCAAGATATTATGAACATCTCTACTGTATGTGGCTTCTCTTTCAGGTAGGTAAAAAGAACTGCTAACACTGATGCGGATCAGTTAGCTAAACCAGCTCGTTTTAATTCTTTACCTTATGTCATTAAGTGGCTCATCTAGTCACATTTTAAAATCAATGACAAGCTTGTTGACGGCAGAAAAAGGAAGTATATTTGTGTTTGTGGTGGGCACTGTAAGTATTTTAGGGGAAGGATAAGTGGAAATGAAGGTGGAGGGAAATAAAACTAAATTTCAAGGATAAGGAAAGTCATTTCTGAAATGTTTGAGAATGTATATACGAATGGTAAAGAAATATTGTATATTATATCATTTCTCATGAATTATAATTTTGTAGATATATCGCATTCACATGGAAACTCTGAAATATTTGTGTTCAACTTCATAAACTAAGGCATAACAAAAATATATTTTAAATTCATACTGTATTTTTATTTTTGAAGTCCTAATATTAACAAAATGGTGGTGGTTTCTATTCGGGGAGGAGTTGCTTTGTGGGTTTAGATCAGAGTTCAATTTTTCTCAAGTGCGAAATTCTCTACCCTTCCTATTTGGGCAGTCGAAGTAGTGACATGCTTTAAGCCCATAAGAAAACCTGGTGAGTAGACTATTTGACGGCTACACTCACCTAAAAGAATTGTCGGGTGGTAAAAACTTGGATTACCTCTGGTTATAGAAAAAAAAATGTCTTAATACGTGGAAACCCTGAAAGTTTAATAATTTTTTTTTACAATGTTATTAAAACTAGACCATAATGATGATTGAACCGAGTTCAACCATGAACCAGAGATATGACATGGATTAACACTAAAACCCAAACATAGTTAAACCGGTAATAAAACCGTATTGAACCGACAAAAACTCGAAAATCGACGACCCAATCCAAATGTATTGTACCGTGCTTAATTGTTGAATTGAGATTTTTTATTTTGTTAGTTAATTTTGTTTACCAATTATATTTCTTTAAAAAATATAGGTACATGATTTGTAAAACTAATAACGTTTACACTTATATTTTTAATGAAAAATAAAGATAGAATGTTCATATATACGTTTAAACTAACGTTTGTTGTTGCATTAATCTAAACTATTATAGTATCTACTAGACCGCCGATTTCGTAAATTTCAGAACCAACAACAACTACACTGGAATTTGATATGTTAGAAGACAATCGGAACCAACAACTGTCCAGTTGTCTTCTGGTTCTTCTTAGTCACGGTGGAGTTGGGTAGGGTTCGATTAGGGTTAATCCAGAGCCTAAACCACTTGGGATCTCGATAAGCTTCCAGTATAGAGAAATAAAGACATTGTTCGGAGTTTCCAATTCGAGATCCCCCTGCGTAGAGCTCAGTGGAAGAGATAAGCGACCTGAATCTTTTGGAAACGATTGAGAGTTTTGGATAGTACGACCTCGAGATCCATGCTAAGCAAGTAACGACGATTTCCTCTGGAATGAAAGGGGGGCTCATGGCGGAATTCTTAGAATATTCAAAACTGTTAAAAATTCTCAAAACTATGGAAAAAAACAGTGAGAAACTTCTCTTGCAATATTCTTACTAAAATTTTCAAGTCTGCCCATAAACAAACAGTGAGCTCTTCTTCTTCCCAAGGAGAAAAGGAAAAACAAAATAAAGACGAATGAAAAAAAAAACTTTATCGACTTAAGTCGGAAGT